TTTTTGTAATTAATCATGAAGTATACAAATTGATACATATAACGTTCCCAGTCTTTCAATAAAGACGCAGACATCTATTTTGGGTGCTGTTAAATTAGGTCTTTAGAGACCAAGAAGTATATATGTGCCATCCTGAGTTATTTCTTCTAAATTATGTGGGAATAATTTATATGCAATACACATTTCGAGGCTGCTGGCAGCTCCCGAAATAGAAAATCCCTTATTCCCCCTGCGATTTTCCACTCGCAGCCCTCATTAGTAGGAGACTCGAGCGCAGGGCAGACAGTTTTTCAATTGTGCAAATTGCTCACCAGAGCCGCAGCCTCAAGTGTTGAACACTTGAAGTCCTCGGATTGAGCTCCCCCTCTTTTAACCCGCCCTTGCCTTTAAACTCCCCCTCCGTTTAGCGAATTGAAATAAAAATCAAAGTGACGTAAAATACATTCAACCGCTTTGGACTGGCATTTTATTGGTGCCCGAGTCTTTTTCGACAAAACTAGGTCAGTCAGTCTGACAGGCCACCTGCTTTTGGACCACTTCATTCCCCTTTCGGTCTAAATCAGCACTAAAAATCTAGAAATGAACACATTGCAAGTGTCTCCTTCAACCACTTTGCTCTTCTTCTACTGAAATTTGTATTCCTTCGATCTGTGGCTGTCTAAAAAATTTCAAATAAATTGTCACTTGATGAAAAACCTTTACTTTTCTGGCCACCATAAAGTGCATTTTAATGTTTTGATACTTAGCCAATACCGAATATTCAAATGTGTGGGAAAGAAGCTGAATGTTTTATGATTTTTATGCCCACTTGAGAGTTTTTCGTTTGCAAATGGAAATTGTCAACCTGCAGACGAGGAGAGAAAGAGAGAGGGAGAGAGAAGCTTAAGGCCAAAAGTGAGGGTAAAACAAATATAAAAACCATTAGGCAAATGTACATGGATAATTGACAGAAAAAGGAAAACCGGCAAGCTGCACAATTAAGGAAAAGTGGCGGGGGAAATGATGGGAAGAACAGAAACACTTAGGAGACTCTTCGGTGACATTTGACATTCGCCGAGTAAGAACTGTGGGAACAAAGCAAATTGAGTTATGAACAAAAGAAACAATTATCCGAGAGCTGGAGAAAATCCCAGCGATCCAAGTTTAACTTACTCTCTAATTTTGTTGCATAAACAAATGCTTTTAATAATAAATTAAAAATGTTATCTCGTCCTTTTATTAAAGTCTTTAGTTTAGCTTAATTATACTGTACATTTATATAATAAAAATGAAATTTAATATTTTCTTGTTTATTTTTTGGTAGTTGGAACTCAGAATTTAATTGAGTTATGTCTGAATATGTTTGTGTGCAAATAAAAACTTTTTAATTTAATAAAATAGCGAAAATTTAAACTAATTTCCCAAAAATCGGAAATACATTTCTTTAAAATTGGTATTTGGCTGCTGTTAAAAGCAAATTTGTTTCCTACGTTTAATTTGTATTTAATACCTATCACAGAAAATGTAGAAAACATTTCAATTTGTTCACCTAATCACAAAAAGCGTCTTATAAGACTCAAATCACTCCCAGCGAGGCTATTAATCTGTTAACTTAAACAAAAACTAGAAATCTAAGAACAAACCTCAAATATACATTATGTGTCAATTTAATTGTCTTGCCTAACTGATTTATAGAAGCATTAATAATGAAGAGACGGACACAGAACATTGAAAGAACATTAGGCGATGGAAATTCCAAGACTCAGGCACACAAATAGAAAGGCGCTAAAGTGTGAAAAACTCATTAAGATACAAATTTGTTTATAGATATACACGTAACACATTCTGTTTTATTTTTTGGGAGTGCGGAAAGGGGGAGTTGTGAACTAGAAGCCCACGCATCTGGCTCGGAAAAAAGGGGAGAGACCCATACGGAAAAGGCAATCAGGCATGGCGTCATGTAATGGAAACGCAAAAGTCACATTCATCAGTCAAAATAATAACCAGACAGAAACAGAAACCGGAGATTTCAGACTTGAGGTCTTGTCTTGTCAGCTTGGTTAAAGCCAAAGTCATTTGTCCAGACTTTTCCCCTCCCTCCTGCATGTTTGTTTGTTGGTTTATATATGTACATGTACTGTACCCTGCATTCAATTTACTAAAGACAATTGATTTTTTTGTTGTTATTGCCGGGCACAAATTGAAAACGATTATCAATATGTTGGGCATTGACAGGCGGGGTCAACGGGGAGTACGGGCATGAATGCGCGAAAAACTAACAAGAGGCAAAAAAAAAAAAAGTAAAGAAAATACTACGAAAGTGAATGTGGTGGGTGGATGTGAGGGAAATGGGGAAAGGGGGAAACAAAGCCACAACAAACATTCGCTGACTGATAAATGGCCAGCACAAAAGGCAGGCAAAAGGGCCAAAACAGCGGGCGGTGGAAGTGGGTGGTGTGTGTGTGTGTGTGTGTGGTGTGTTTCGGTCGGGTATCTCGGGGGTGCCCTTCATTGTGCTACCCAAAGTTGATGCCATTGCTGTTTTGCCACACGCCTCAATGCAATTTGGGGGAAAATATGCTGAGGGAGCCTCGCATCGCCGCTCCACCTCGAGGAATGTAAACAAAATGTATCGTAAAATAAATAGTTTTTAAAACCGTTCTTCAAGCAGGAGCCAGGGGCCCCATGGAAAATAGTGTGGAGAACTTTAAATCGTTTTCCCCCGCTGCCGCAGTGAATTCAAAGTAAACATAAAACACTTTCGAGAACTCACACTGCTAATTTGGATAAACTGTGTGAAACATGTGCGATTAGCCAGATATGAGGAAGTGACAAGAGCTCCGAGATGGAAATAAATTTAAAATGATTAGTAGCATTACACAATTGCAAAGAAAAACGAACAAATTGTATTGTATTATTGTAGGAAATAAAGCAATAATTATTTCCAATAGTTTCAAACATTAATCATGTTTCTTTTTAACCATATACTGTGAATAAGCCTTTTTCAAGGCTGATTCTTGAGACTGGCTGATGAGCAAATCACCGGCAAACAAATAACAATTGAATGTAAAACTTTGGAAAACCCCAGAAAAGAAAACCCAAGCGAAAGACACAGATAGACTCGGGGGCAGGACAACTTTCGGTTTGTCTCGCTTGGTTTCCCGGGCAATTGAAGAGGAAATTAAACAAGTTTGCCTAACGAAGAAACGCAGAAAGTTTTTTGCCAGCGCGCCTTAAAGTATGCGGCATCATCAGAGAAAAAGGAAAAGAAGGGGGAAGAACCCCAAACGAAAGCTTTCCCGACAACAGCCCCAACTTTTTCTTTCAGCCCCTGTTCGAGTTTTCTGCTACTGCTACTGCTGCTGCTGCTGCTGCAGCATCAGCAATGAAAACCGGGGTCACTGGGAGTGGGCGTAGGCGGCAGGAGGGGACATGGGGGCGTGGCAGCATTGTCACTGCTGCTGCTCCTAAACTTTTTGAATCAATTTAAGTTTTGACATTTTAATGATAAATTTGTAACATGCAAGAGGAAAACAAGACAAAGAATGCCAGCGATGGATGTTGCAGGAACCCTCGTCGCTTTTCGCTGTAATTCCTGTTGCGGCTCCTTTTGCTAGAATCCAGTTTATAAATTGCTCTAAGTGTTTCCCAAGAACGAGGGCAAGCGGTTTGCTTATGAAGTGAAATGAAGTTCGAAGTTGAGCGTATAAATTGGAAAACTATGCTCAAGTGAGAGGACTTGACTTTCCGTTGCAAGCACTTCACACGCTTAGATTTGTTCTTAAGAGTTTCGCTATATGAAAGTGATCAAGTTGAGTTTATTTATTAAAAGTACAAATAAAGTATAAGCAGGTTAACACCCCCGACACTTGACTCTTGGCAAAGTTTTTCCAATATATTCTGGATTCCCTTTCAATCCACCCTCTAATTTAAGCCCCACATAAAAAGGAATTTATATGTTGTGCTATCGGCAAACACATGTTCGAGTGTGTTTATCGAGGATACAACATCATGACAAACATCGTTGGCCATCTAAAACTCATTATTGACTCATTTCGCCGGCCATAAAGAGCACCGAAGTATGTTGTCTTTATTTTTGGCTGACAGCCGGCAACCATTTCCAATTAAAGCGACCACTGCTGTACCCCAAACAAGTTGCCGAGTGCCATATAGTATGTGTAGGGCCATTAAGACCTTTGTAAACTGCGGCAGGCATATGCACTTAATGGCTAAGCACACACACTCCCAAGGACAAATTCAGGGTGGATCCCGGGATATATATTCGTATCTATGTCCCGGTTTGCGGCTTTGGCAATTTGTCGCTTTATTTGCGGCTTCCTTAGCACTTTGTTTACATTCCATTTGAGGAGCCCGCGCAAACAAATTGACAAGTTTCGTAGGTAAACAGTGAAGAACACACATTTTTGTGTAACCCAAAGCGGGGCACTAAAAATAAAGTGTTTGGCGCCAGGGAAGGGCAACCGAAATGCCACCATCCATTACTCGTGATAACGATTATCGATAAAGTGTGACACATATAATTAGAAAGGGCTGACAACCTATGGTGCCAGAAAGCAAATTGAAATTAGAGCTGTAAACAAGCGGTGGAGAAAATTTGTTTCAAATTCATGCATAACTATTAACAACATAATAACTTGTTTGAATTTTAAATTAATTACCGGGTGTTGAATGTTTATATTGCATTACAATTTAATCGGCCTAATTTCAATTTAATTACCAACGACTAGCACTTGTCTATGTATTTTCATATTTTTAATTAATTTTCTTTTTTGTGTTTTTGATAAATCACTTTCTTCCAAAGCTTAAAACTTATGACCTGAATAGATTATATATAAATAAAGATACAGAAGTTTTCTGGCTGATTAAAGATACCTTCTGTTCATTAAAATACTCATATACCTCTTGGGGAATAAGAACCCCACATTTTGTTGCTTACCAAACAATTCTCACGAAGCCAAGTATATATATTTATTATGTTTTCTATTTTGTTTGCTTTGCAGATAAGTAAGACGACCCACTGCGACGGCAGTCAATGTCTGATAGTGAGTGGACAGTCTGGAAGTGGGTCTCTACCGACGTCTTTATATGACTGATAATGGCCGTCTGCCCTGGCCGAAACCACAATTGCAGCAACAGTGCGCCACAATGGCCAAACAAAATGAATATCTGAAAATTTGGAAACATATCAAGTGGCGAAATGAAAAGTAAACAAAGCGAGCTAAACATTATAAAAACGAGATTTATGCGAAAGAACGTTAAAAATACACATGTTTATAGAGAAAAGTGGACAACTGAAAACCAACATTCATGCAACGCAATCGAAGTGCCATAGTGAAACGCGAGTGTTTGCAATTCGTTCTCGCAGTTTAGTCAATATATAGGTATCACACGACATATCGCCAATTAAATAGATATATATATATATAAATATAAAGTACAACCACCGACCGACCAGAGAGGCAGAGCAGCGACAATATGACAATATCGGGCGGCATTCAACATAATAACAATGCAAATCGCAAATATGAAAAACTCATTAAGCAGCCGCAGATGCAATTTGCTACGTCCGTGACCGGAACGCAAACGGATGTGAACTCCTGCCGAGATGCGAATGCGGATGCGGATGCGAATGTGAATGACGGCCAGGACTTTGGCAATTTCAATAAGCATTTCGGCAATGGTCATGCTGCCAATGCCACTGCCACTGCCTTTGCCACTGCCACAACGGATCGCACAATGCTGCTGCCTTTGGAGGACGATGTCGCCAGCGCCGGCGGCATTGTCACGTACAAGGGTAAATCGAACGGGAATGGGAATGGAAACGGGAGCATCGGGAGTTTCGGATTGGAGTTCAACGGCAGTCCTACCTCATCAACGTCAATTGGCATCGCCGGCAGTGGCAGCATCCACCTGACATCGGGCGGCGGCGGACTCGGCGGCGGGTCCTCCGAGGCAGGCGGCTGGATATGCCATTGTTGTAATTTAATTGCACGTCGCTGCTTTGGCATCAACGTGCGGCGCTGTGTCCTCGCACTCCTGGCCATTACGGTGGTTAGCATTTTCTACTACACGCATTATGTCGATACGGGCGTGTTTAACGGGTGAGTACTGATGATGGAACCGAATGAATCACAGAGTGACCCCCATTGTCTCCCTTTACCGGGTTTCAATCTGATTAAAAATGTGGATTTGTCAGCTGCTCAAATTAGCTTAGCATCTCTTTAAGCTTAAAATAATGTTAGGTTGTACAAGTTTAATGTAAAACCCTTACAAATTTAAATATATATTCTCAAAGGGGATCAGCTTTCCAAGCGGATCAGATAATATTGGTTCTGCACAAGTCTAGCCTGAGATCCCGCCTGTCTGTCCTTTGCCCCCTGATTTTTCAGGCAATTTCGACGAATTTTTATTGTGCTCAAGTGGCGTCGATGGCGAAAATGCACTTCATGCCTGTTTTGTTCCGTTCTGTTCACTTTTTGTGGACCATGAATGTGGGGGAAGCGTTTTGTTGTGTGCCCTGTTTGATTGGATTTTTTGTTCATTGTCGAGTGGTTTACGAGGGAAATAGGGAGGCGAATGGTTTTCAATATGCTGCAAATTAAATTAAAACAGGTGTGTGGCTGGCCAAAAACAAAAAAAAACAAAAACGAAACCGTAAAAGCTACGTGTAAATTGAAAAAATTTGGTGTGGAAAACCCTTTTTTTCTAGTAAACGAAAAGTCATGTTGCGCGCGCGGAGATTTAAAAGCATTTTCACTCGGAATTTTGGTTAGCTCACGCGAAAACTAGCACTAAAATTTTAATGCCTTCTATGCGCTTCCCAAAGTTTTAGGACCCATTCAATTTTTAGTACCCCAAAAGTTTCACCTGGCCGCCCTAAGAACCTTTCGCAAATCATCAAGCGATTTTTCTATGGCTTTTTACGCTTGCGACAAAATAAAAAAATAAAGCGTAAAAGGAAAGTTTCATTCTGCACATTGCTATCGACAAGTTCCACTTTTGCTTGAGTTCAGTTCAACACCTTTTTGGTTGGCTTCATGCTCAAAGAAAACCCGGCAGCAGCACCCGGGGTTTCTTTTTTCGGCTTCCCGGCCATGCTCCATGACATACTCGGGAATAAAACTCATTTGGTGCTACCATTTCGCATAGGGTGAATTTCGAAGTGGTCCTCGAATGGGAAAAGTGGGCGGAAAAGCGGGAAAAATATTGCTCATAATTGTGCGCGTAACTAAAGAAGCTTTTGCTGGCTGTTCGCACTAGTTTGCAGTGTGTTCCTGTTCCCTTCTCATTTTTTTCCTGTTTTTTTTTTTTGGGTGATTATTGTGCGAGTTCAGAAATTGCTCCTTTTCGGAATGGCGGGTGTATATTAAATTTTTTCCCATGAAATTTTTAGCTTGCTGCAGTACAGCAGTTATTTCGCTCACCTGGCTGTTAGCAGTTAGCTACTTTTGCGCGCAATTATGGCTTACAAACAGTTCCAACGAACGCCGAATACCGAACCCCATTCCATTTAGCCTGCAGTCGTTGCACAAACAACCAGCGAAGTTTTTGATTACTTTCATCAAGCGTTGCCGAGAAGATTGCTCCAGGAGTTAGTTGCGTGGGAGGGTCCTTGGCATTGTTTTCTTTTTCAGTTTCCTTCCTCCATACTTTTCAACACGCTAGCCAGCACAACCGAAAGCAGCAGCAACAGCAACCAGGAAGTGCCTTGTTCTTATCCGGCCAGATAAAATGCTATTTACATTTTCCAAATGCCGGTTGATTATTAAATATTTACCCTTACCCAGGCAGGGCACTTGAAATTTAATTTACGGTCCAAGACTGTGGCAAAGTTCATTAGTTGGCTAAGTGGGTTACCATCAATCAGGACCGAAAAGGACCTGCCTCATATTGAATAGACCGAGTCCGAGTCCGAGTAATTGTATGCGACATGGGGGAGTGTGGTAAATTTTAATGAATTCAGATGGCCTGACTACATGATTGTTGCATGCTTATGGGTGAAATGCGGGCGGTGCGTTAGTTGCTGACTGAATACACATGGGAATTCGTAAGGGGTAACGTTTTGGGAAAATTCTAAAATTCGAAACACTCTCTGGCATTATTTTTAGGAACGATTTCCTCTTTCAAAGTGTTATAATTTATTTGGTTGTTTTTTCAATTTCCTTTTTAAAATATATTCAATACATTATTTACCTATATTATTTCATTTAGGCCAACCGTATATAATAATATATTCCCTAAAAACTTTAAATTCTGTTAAAACAAAATCTACTGCATTTGTTTCTAGTGCTTGAAAGTAAAAGGTTTTCGCTTAAGTTCTCTACAGTTTAAAAGTTTATTTCGTTTGTCTTTGGATAAAAAAAAAATGTTTTTTTTTTTTTTTTTTTTAAGTGCATGCCGTACTTCTTTTGAACACCCGACTGTTACGTGCAAAATGCGGAAACAAGTGACGTGCCAAGTTTAAAGCCAGCCCCTCTCCTTGATCCCAAAAGTGTGTTAGTGTGAGTGTGTGGGTGTGTAAGTGTGGGTGTGCTGGGGCGGGCGCCTGTGGGCGTGTCCTGCATCCTGGCTTTTTCTCCTCCCCGCTGCTGAGGTTGCCCCTGTGGCCATAGACGCCAGTCAGAGTCTGATGTGCGTGTTTGTTTATGCTGTCTGTCATTATTTGCACTCGCACACCGACACACTCGCACACCCACACAGAAAGCCACTGCTAGGATCACCCACACAAGCACACAAACACACATTGGCATATGCATAAATGCATTTCTTGTTCCTGGCTTCCTTTGTAGGTGCAAAACGCATTTTGACAAAATGCAAACGTACGTGATTTGCATGAGACTGAGGAGTGACTGCCAGTGGGGCAAAGAGGCAAGAAGGCGTGGCGGCATTGGGGCAAAAAGGGCGGTGAAGTGGCAAGCGGATTGGACAGCCAAAAACACCATCCTGACACGCCGGCAATAATTGATTTGTAATGCAGAAACCTGACGAAGCTCACTGCAAAAATGCACCAATTTGCATGCATTTTTAAAAATATCTAATTTCTAATTCCGCATTTGAATGAAGTGGCAGTTGCAAATTGAGTTTCATCAAATGGAATTGGATTACACAACTTTTTAGTTGCTGAATATTGTAAATCCACTTTTATGCAAATAGATCGTTTGCATAAATTGTTTATGTTTAGCAAGTTTAAGTAGTTAATTGAATGCTAAGAGTCCGTTTATTGTATTTTGATACAAAAACCAATTGTGTTTGTGCAACATAAGGTTTCAAATCCCATTTTATGAACGTGGGCGCAATAACCATTTATGTCAAGTAGAAATCTGTTCTTTCATTAAATTCCCATCGCTTTCACTTTAAATGCGGAACTGTCTGTGATTCATTTCGCTAATTTCGCTGCGTAATGCATTTATTCAGCTGTTATCCTGCGACTATGCTTTCGACTATCTGGTCGCCTGTCACGTGCAATCACAACGCCTGTCACCAAATAAACACGTATATATAAACACACACTCTGCTCCACATATACTAAAACCGATTGTTTGTGTGTGTGTGTGTGTGTGTGCTTTAGAGGGACATTATTTGCTTTGCGTGCTAAGTGCGATAAATGCAATTTGATGTTAGATGTGTTTTTTTCCGCAGGACACGGTCTGCCACACGCTGAAAACTAAAACTGGGAATATACTATACTCTCTAAAAACGTAAATGTGTCTCGATAATCAACACATAAATTACTGCTGTCGGTCGAGTAATTTGAGCGTAAACAGTGCAGTGTTTTTGTTTGCGTTGAACATGACATATACGTGATGTGATTCACATTTGCGTGCATTAATTGACTAAATATTTTAATTGAAAATGCGATTATAAACGACAAATGGCCGCAGGCCAGAGCACCGCATACATCGATTGAATGGCGGATGCACGTTGTTAAAATACGATTACATATGCGTATTTGCACAAATCCATGCGGCAAAAGAAACGTTAACGATTCGCTTTCAAGGATTCCAGGACACCCAACTCGCCATCGTTTTCCGTCCGCCGTCGAGTGCTGCGAAATGCAATAAATAATTACATTTATTTGCTTTAAATGCAATTACAAACAAACAAACAAAATGGACAAGCAGACAGACACACAGACAGACAGACCGACAGACAGAAACTGGGAGACATTGGGAGCCTTTTGCATATCCCGCGCCGTCTGGCAATTTCCCGACTTTTCCACGTTCACAGTTCATTTGGCCGAGTGTCCAGTTCAGTCCCAGCGGAGTGTCCTTTCGCCATCCTGTGTTCGCCATGCCCTGACATTTTCCCACTCATTTCCCGGCTGCAATTCAATTGAACTTGCCTTGCTTGATTTATTTAATTAACTTTTTTTTCTCCCCATTTCCCCTGCGACCCTGCGATCCCACCGCAGTCGTTGAGTCGCCGATGTCGGGGCTTTATTTCAAGTGTTTCATCGGTTCCCATTCTGCAGATTTTCATTCTCATTGTTCTTAAGTGGCTGCCTGCCGGAGAAATTCTTAATGCTCGAGTTCGAAAATATGCGAGCCGAACAAAGGGAAAATACTTGACGCACAATGGCTGTACAGTATTATTCAATTTGCCATTATAGCTTTATTCCAAAAAAAAAAAAACTTATTTCTTTACGAAATCTGCTGGTAATATATATTGGATTGGATCACGAGACAATTTACATTTTATTTGAACAATACCTTTAATAATCAAGTGTCTAACCTTATTAATACTATTTCACAGTAGAACTTCCACTTTTCAGAAAATGGATTGTTACAATAGATAAATTCTTTCTCTCCAATCCAGAATGACAAATAATACGAAAAAACCATTCATTTTTGTAGCATTTCCTGTGGGTGCTCAAACCACAATGACATTGCTATATTGTAGAATCTGCTTTTGTAGTCTAACCCCAAAGTAAACGTTTTCCCTGCACTCCAGTTTAATTTACTCTGGCTGTGACATTGACAGGCTTCGACCACAAATCGCCAGCGATATTTCTGGCCAAAAGCTGCGCTTGGTTTACTCAGCCAGCTCATTTCGCTGGCTCGTGTCTCTTTGCTTTTACCATTTTTGTTTAAGTGGCCGCTTTGTCTCCTTTTCCCCCAGTTAGTTTGCTTTTCGCATTTGCCCAGCACTCGTCCTTTTTGTTTGCCATATTCATTTTCCTTCTTTTTTTTTTTTGGGAGGAACTAAATATTTTTTACGTCCCTTCTCTGTCCTCTCAGATATCCTTTTTATACCCCCATGCACACACATATCCTTGTGCTAGATTCGCATTTTATTATGCATTTGCTGCGGCGGCCGGGGCTGTCCCGTTTTTTGGTTTTCGTTTCGGTGAGAATCTGCATTACGTATGCGCCCCGTTGGTCGCGCTTCTCCGTTTTGCGGCTGCTGCATTTGCTACTTTGCAAATTTATTACAAATTTTTACATACGATTTATTGTCTGCGCGCTGCTTGGCCAGCAACTCGGAGTCATATTCTCTGGGCCCTCCTATTGTTACGAGGGAAAGGCTTTAAAGTCCCGAGCGTTACGTATACGTATACGTATTCGTTCGTATAAACTGAAATGTATGCGCTCACGGATTCAATAAAACCGCCCCGCGTCATGTCTTTCGTCTTGACTAATAAGCCTTGGCCACGCTCATGGCCGTAAGCCTTCTCGTCCGCTGTGCATTTCCCCTCGGTTTTTCATCCGTTTCCCCCGCCCCTCCCCCTCAGTTTTTGCCCACTTTTCTCCCCAGCTTCGTTGACAGCGCAACATTTGCAAGAGAGAGCAGCGAGCTGCTTGCCAAGTTTGTTGCACGCCCGCATAAATAACACGTCGCAAATGCATAAACTGACTTTTTGTTGCCTAATTTATGCAGCACAAAAGACGAAACTGCGGCCCTTCGACCCCGACCCGCCTTCTCTTTTTTTTTTTTTTTTTTGACCCCGCCCACCGCCTCTTCGGCAACGGAAACGGAAATTTTGTGCTGTGCACAAATAAATCAGCGAACTCGGAGGCCAGGCCAAAACAGAACAGGTTGCACGAAATGCAAACGAGAGGGCTGAGCAAGCAGCAGGAATTTCTTCATCGTGCCGCAGGACTCGGGGCATCAGGAGTCGCCCAAAGTTTTCTCCCTCACTGATCAACTATGAAAACGTCCTGTAACGGTTGCGAAAAGTACGAAATATTTACTTTACTAAAGAAATGAGATGAATAGCGGTGCCTAAAAGAAATAATAATCGATCTAGGGGAAACTGACATAAAAGATATAAGAGCACAGTTGAATGTGAAAAATAATTTTTGTTCTCTCTGGTTAGTTTGATTTTGTTTTACTGTAGCTCAAACTGCTAATGTGCGTTCTACAGGCTTATATTTCATAGCTTGTACTACCTATTAATAGTGTTATGAATAGCAAGTATTTTATTGAAAAAGTTTTCCTACAACCGGCTGTCAGTTCATTCAGAATTTATGGCTGATTAACACACCAGGGGAAAAGTTATAATGGCAGCTATACAAAATATTATGGATAAGAAAACTTCAATTAGGAAGTTAATAAATTAAGTAGAATTTCTGTTATTAATTTACAAAAAGATATCTTATGAGCCTTGTTCGTTAAAACAAAACAACAATCAAAAGTGCTAACCATAAATGAAATCTTGTTCACCATTTACAAACAGAATTGGTTTAATTAAAACAGCATTCTATACTTTAAACCAAAACCAAACTAATTGCGTTGGAATGCACTAGAAGGGAATGTAAAAGTTGAAATCGGAGGCAGTAAGCAACTTTTCCCCAGCTCACGTACAAAGTGGAGTTAAATTACGTTTTAGTTTCCGTTCAGGGGCCACGTTCTAGGTGTTCCCCCCGAAAATATTTCGTTAACTCGCACAAATTTCATATAAATTTGACATGCTCTTTGAAACTGAACTAAAACTCGTAAGTTTTATATTTATTACTAATGTTTTGATTTACCGGCTACTCTCGCATTATTCCCTGCACTTTTTCCCATGTTTCTAGGGCATTTGGGGTAGTAGAAAAAGAAGGAAAAGCACAACTTTCCTTTCTGATTTTTCGGTGGACCTGCCTGTTTTATGTGAACGTGTTCGGTCGTTCGTGTGTAGTTGTGTACATGCATACGTTTGCTATCTAAATATTTTGTTTTGGCAGTGCAAAAGTTTTGCCAGCCTGCCAGGATCTGGGATCCGTGCCGCCCACACGGCCGGCCTTTTCCTCCATTTTTGTAATGCAAAAAGTATTTACATTTTGCAAGGCAGCCAGGTGGGTCCTGCATGCATGTCCTGTAGCCGTAGCTGTAGCTACGGTACCTTTTGCAGATTTCGAGGGCTTGGCCTAATAGGTTTTTGTTAATTTTGGGGATTTCACTTGAAAGGCGCTCAGCAAAAGGATTTTACACATGTTGCCGCTTTTACCTAAGCGCTTTCACTGCCGCTTGGTTTTGTTATTATTATTTTCCTTCCTGTTGCAATGGACTGCCCGAAGACTTGCCTTGCCAAAGGTTACACGGAAGCTACAAGGATATGTGGAAATTGCATAAGCTTTATAATAAAGCGCTCCACTCGATGCCGAGGATAAAACACACAGAAAATGGGGTTCGGGGCAGCGGAGGTATGATAAAATCTAAATAGAAAAGTTGCCCAGGTCAAAGGTGATTTCCAGGTAGTTTTAGGGCACAAACTTTTCCACTCCTATGAGAAAAGTTCTGACCCACACAGCGACAGCCAAAAGGAGAGTTGAGACTCACAAACTTACATTAGACAGCTCAGTTTTCAGCTCGTTGTTGGTTTGTTAATGAGCCGCATTGTTGCCTTTTAAGGAGGAGGAGGAGGAGAAGGAGCATAAGGACTCGGGAACACCATGCAAATGAAGATATGTGAGACAGGCCTTGGGGTTGAGATACTGAGGGAACGCACTGTGCTGAAAATACTTATCTGTTTTTATAACACGAAAAAATAAAGTAAAAGAGAAAAAAACTTGTTTGGCATTGCAACATGCTTTCAGACATGCGTACATAATAAATTTAATTTTTAACGCTGCTCACTTCGTTTATAAAGTAATTATGGGTTACACTTTATCACGAAATAAAGGAGCGTATAAACACATGAAATTATGTTAAACCAAATTTATTAACCAGGTGCTCAAAAATTGACGTGCTTGTTTATCGCATTATCAGAGGTAGTAAAATTGAGGTAATGAAGCTTATTTAAATATACAGGCGAAAAAAAACAACAAAGAAAAAAGTAGGTAAAATGTTTAATTACATTTGAAATAATATTATGCACTAGATAAACAGACATAAATACCAAGAAAATGAAGTTTGTTAAGAAACATACCCCAATTGAGATAACAGATCTCAAAAGTTTTTTTTTTACGGTGTGTTATCACAATAGCGGTATGGAAAGACAGTTGGCGGTTGGCTTTTATCTTGTGGCAGCCAACAGGCACCGGCAAAACGCAACATCGAGCCAGCGCTAACGACAACCGCCAACGATGTTTGCATATTACGCATACGCAGCGTTGTCGCGTATCTCAATTTGGCTGCCACTGCCACTGTTCCCCTGCTACTTCAGTTTCGGCTCCAAACATGCGGTGTTGTGTCACAGCTTCTCCCTATTTTTCGCAAAATCCCCGCCGGCAGTCACTCGACAAAAGCAAATACAATAAATGAACGCCGCCAGCGACTCATCGTCATCGTCTTCAACTGGAGCGGAAGAACAGCTCTCCACTGGCAAGTTTGCCGCCTCTTGCTTTGCTTATCTACCCTCCGCTCCAACAAAATGTTGCATTTCGGTGCTTTGTGTGCAGCTTGCCATTTTATTATTTCCAGCATATTTTTTTATGCATGAGTTTTCCCTCTGACAGCTGCAAAAGTCAACGTCTGCTTCTTTACATCCTTTAATTGCTTTGGTAAATGCTTAAATATTTGAGCTTCGGAAAGGGGATTTCGGTTTGTTCAAACAGGTAACAAAACAAAGGGAAGCAGTAAGCTTGAAGTTTGCTTTGAGGGATCTTAGCAAAGGGTTAAAAAGCAGAAAAAATATTCATGGATTTAAGGGGATTACAAAAAGTTTTTATTTATTTTGTAGCAAAGTTTTAAATAAATACGTTTGTATTTGTCTACAAATGAATTCCGTTTGTTCTCAACTGCAGATTTTATTCATTTGGTTTGACATATTTGCAATACTAATTTTTAAGGGCTACAAATTTCCTCATTGTAATTCTTCTACAAACATTTCTAGAAAATGTGTGCAGCGAAGAATAAACTTGCATGCCATATTTTTCCATTACCAAGCTGTGATTTTATGTACAATTTCTTCCTTTTAAATAACCATAACTTATGTATAAAATATTTATATATTTTTCAGTCTCATCCAACGCGACACACATCCCGCTCCCATCATCAACTGCCGCATGATCAACTCGGGCGGCAAGCACATCCGAGATGCTTCCCCCGCGCCCGATCACCGGTCGGAGGCTCGGTTACGAATCGATCCGAAAGTCCTTGTTTTTGTGGAAACCACATATTCCGGCCTGGGCAGGGACATTGCCGAGCTGCTCGTCTACAATCGGATCAAGTAAGTTTCACAGGCCAAAAGAGAAATCATAGACAATTAGCTCTGGCAAATTTGCATAATTGCAAAGGCAGCGATGCGGCGATAATTATTACACTCAAAGTAACTGGGAAACGGAAGTGGCAGCGTAACCAACACCACGTTGCACGCACACACACAGATGCACACAAAGAAAGACACACACACAGACACAGAGAGATACAGAAGGGGAAATGAATGGCGAGTGGCAAGTGGGGTCCTCCGGACTCTGGACTCCGGAATGCTCTACTTTCGTCTGTTCCGTCCGTTTCCTTTGCTGCTGCAGGACCCGGCCATTGTCAATGTTGACCCAATTTGGGTAGTTGGCCATAAAAAGGCAGGTTATGAAATTAATGCCAAGCTATGCAGCTTCTCCGCTCGCTCCCGCTCGTTCTCTGTCTGTGTGTCTGAGTCTGTCTCTCCATTGGGGAGGAGCTCCTCCTGCTCCTCGAGCTCTTCGCTGCTGCGGGCAACCAGCAACCAGCAAAGCATTCCAGTTTAATTGGCAACTTATGCTTTTGTGGTCGAGTGGCCTGCCAAACGGCGCTGCCGTTGCCACCGCTGCCGCATCTCGCATCCCGAGCATCCTTGCTGGGGCATCCACATCCATCCAGCACATCCATCTGGGCCAGCTCAGGCGGAAGTCTCGTTTTCTCTGGCCAATGTCTCACCTGCCCCGTTCGTTACCTTCCTTCCTTCCAACCGAATCGGCTCACATGGCTCCGCTGGCCAAGTCAGCAGTTTTCACCCCTCTTTTGCCACCTTTCCCCGCTTTCCCTGGAACTCCCCCTCCTGTTCAGCCTTCAGCTGTCAGCCGACTAAGTGCTGAACTTCAAGGAGGAGTTGCGTCCCTTCGGGATGACTGTAAGCCATAAACACACAGAGTCTGGCTGCAATGTTGCATAATTCGAGGGGATTTTAAAATGTTAGATGTCCACAATTCAGTTGGGTTTGGGTTGAAAAAGGTATTAGGGCTTTAGAAATGCTCCAGGTTTGAATTTAATTAACCAATTTCGATAGGATATAAAATATAAATTCATAAATGGGGATATTTTATAGCCTCAAGCTCTTTACAAATTTGAGAACGTAGTATACATTTCATTTGTATAATATGTATATAGCTTACGTTGCGAAATCAATATTTAAAAATAACTGTTTTAAAAGCAACTTATCAACTTACAAACCAACTTGACTTTTCAACCTTTTCCGTGATTATAAACCATTTAATTTCCCATTCCCCAAGGGTATTTCGAATTCCCTATTTTCCGGCTCCCCTTTCGTTGCCTACTTTCTGGCGCACAAAGAGTTATTCTTTCCTTGGCCATGCCTTTGTAATTCTCCTGTCGGCTTGCCTGTGTGTGTGTGGGTGGGTGGTTGTCCTGTTCTGTGTAGGTGTGAGCCTGTGTCGAGACCGCCCAATTGGTTAACCGCAGTGACCGCAGGATGTGCAGCCTCCTGCGAATAACCGCAATTATTATACCAGCTGCACTTTGCCACCGGGTGGGCGTGGCAAACTTTTCAATACGATTTTTATTTTTATACAACTTTTTACTTCACACTCTTTTTGAAATGCACGACACACGAGTACATGTTTGTGAATTGTGTAAATTGCGGTTGTAGCCGCAGGGCAAGAAGAATGGTTTTGTGAAGAGCGGGAAAAGCAAGCCTGTGCTGCCTCCAAAAGTCAAAGGGCAAAAATTTCAATTTGCCGCAGCTTCTGTTGATGTTCCTTGGACTCCTTGCGCCTTCCCTTTGGCCTTTGTGTTGTATAATTAAATTTTGTCGTTATGGCAGAGGGCAAACTAGCTGCTTCTCCAGCTTCTCCATCGCAATTCGGCTAAGACTGCTTCAACGGCAGCAGACAAGTGCTTCAACTTTAATGAGATTTCAAGTACAAATAGCAACAGCAATGGCATTCAGTCGGTCGGAGAATCAGTCCCCTTGATTCCACACCCAACTGCAAACAAGTTGAGTAATGCCAGCCATTGTCTCCCGCGCAGTAACCAAATATGCAGGGGAATCGCTCTCATGACCTAATCAACTTGGCCATATGAGCCACGCAGTATCTGCTGGGTGGGCGGGTCCTTGATCCTGCCATTACTCCCGCTGCTTATCAATGACTTCATTAGTGTACTCTTCAGTGACTAGAATGTTGTTGCTGTTGCTGTTGCTGTTACTGCTGCTGCTGCAGATTCCAGTGCTGCTTGCTCGGGTTTTCGGGTACTCCAAACTTTGCCCGATGCCGAGAGCAGGGAGCAACAAATTTCATTAACATTACCATCTCATTATTGCTGATGACTTTTGTGAGCGAGTTGAAGTGTGTGCATATCACAGAATCGAAAAGAGGAGAGATGAGCAAACAGAACTCAAAATAGATGCTTGCCAAAGTTAGATCTTTAAGTTAAACACGAATATGTTGGTGTTTTAAAAGCTGTGGAAATAATTAAATCGTTTAAAGCTATAAAAGACTATAACTCGTATATTTAGAGTGTTTTCCAAACTAAAACCATATAGTAAATAGTTGAGAATATCTATAGTACATATTTTAAACTTTTTTGCTCTATCCAATTACTTTACCCTAATTAGTAGCATCATTGCGTTAACAGAAAACTTTTTAATGGTTTCTGTGCATAGGTGACTCTTAATTGCTGTCAGTTACGACTCGCAACATTTCTCGCTGTGCAAAGGGGGCAGCCTGATTGCTCCGGCATGGAATATAGTTTAAGTTTGTTGCAATGCCCGAAGCTCTGCAGCTGAACATCACGACCAATGCCACAAAGGCCGAGTAAAGGGTACAGGGTTCGTGCAGAGTGCAGAGCACTGAGGCCCAGGCAATCAAAGTTGTCGCTGGTGCCATGGCAGCCATTATTGAAATGCGTCCCTGGGAACGAAAGGATATCTGCGTGTGCGTGTGTGCGTGGACGGAACGCAGGTGCATTCCTTGAATGTGTGTGTGTGTGTGTACCTTCTATCTATCCCATGGAAGATGGCAATCCTAGAACTCGCTTTTCCCATTATCAATTATTTATGAACCGAAGCGACGCTGCTCATTGCTCCCAAGTTGCCACTCAATTAGTCATGAAAAATTCACCCGGTGACTTTCCAAGTGTCGCACTTGACGTATGCGTAATGCCGTGCGCCGAGCGAAACCCGAAGGGAGAGCTACCTTAAATTTATTCAATATTTGCCAGCGGCTCCTCTGCATTTTAAGTAGGTGGAATATCTGAGATTTGCCATCTTACCATTGGACTTGGGCCACAGCTTTTCTCGCTTTGTTATCGCTGCCCTTTTAGACGCTCCAATTAGCCTGGCCAATTGATTGATTGCCAGCTTTCGGTGTGCTTTTCCCTCGTCCTTTTTTCCGGAAAACTGGCTTCCGTTGTACATACAAATTTTCTGGCCAAAAGGCGCGCGCGCCAGCAAGTATGCAAAGTTTTTCGGGGAAAGTTTTTGCGCCCGGATTGCCGTCATTTGTGAGCTGCTGGCCAGCCTCCAAAAAAGAGGTCCTGGCGGAGGCAAGTTTTCTTCCTCTAATGCGCCGTGAAATTCTAATGAAATTTTCCGAGGTAATTACGCGGCCCAGAAGACATCGCCTCAATGGTTCTCTATAGTCTGCCATCGTTTATTAAATTGCCATTTATAATGTGCGTGTGTATATGCATGTAATAGCTACTTAACCTTATTTTCAATTTTTGATTCGGCTTCAGTCAGCGGAGGTTAAGGAAGCCAATTCGGGCGGCTGGCTGAAGTCAAGTCAGCGTGCGGAAGTCATCAGCAGCCTTGTTATCATTTGAACCACAGCCCCACCATCTCTTTTCCCTCCAAAAAACCACGACCCCCTGATGGGCATGTGGGTGGGTCTCTCTCTGTGTGTGTGTGTGTTTGTGTGTGAATAATGTAGCATGGTTTTGTGGTGGCTCAGCCCAAAAACTGCGCTCATCCTCTCGCTTATTCCGGGGCGCTGATTGCGCCACTGGGAGCCCGAACTTTTTAAAACGCGAAATGGCAAAAGGCGAATAACGAACACCGAAACCGTCCGCTTCTCTCCTCAACCGACGTCAATTCGCGCAGACACATGGCAAGCGCCATAAACAGCCACCACAATTGGAAGCTTGCCATGTTGGCTAGGACTTGGCTAAAGGACTTTCCCCCCCCCTCCCCTTTTCCCTTTCCTTTCCTTTCCCGGCTTTCCCGGTTTCCTGGGGCTTGCTGGCTCTTCTCCTAGTCGCTGCTCCTGCTGCTGGCTCCACATTTTTTCCCCACTGCTGGCTCGTCATAATCACACCCTTTTCGCCAATGTTTACTTTAATAATGTCGCGGAAAATTTTTATTTTCAATTTTTCACAAGTCAATGGAGTTTAACCAGCCACCAGGCAGCAGACTATCTGCCGTGCCACAGTGGAAATCAATGGGTTGTAAAATTATATAATTTGACAGGGCTTGTCAACTTGATAAATATGAAGTACTAGATTTATAGGGGCTTAATGTCAAATGCTGTGAATATTTAATGTTTAGAATAAGAAATTATAAGAGTACACTCTACCGATTAATAAAATTCTTCAGAATTAAATTTAATTACTCCGCAATTTATGTTTTATCTTACAAATGCTGCCAATCATTTGGCCTAGTTATCAATCTCAAATCATACTCGCGTTTTAATAAACAAACTGACTGACAAGTGAAGACTTCAAATTCCATTTCCTTTCTAATTAAAAATTCCGAAAATGTATTCCACAGAACTGAATTGGATAAATACAGAAGTTTGTGTGGGTCGCTCGCGGCGGCAGAAAGTTGCTTTTAAAAATTGAACATTCCATTTCATTTGCAATTAAAAATTCCACAAATCCGAATTCAATTTTATAAGAATCGTTTCATTAAGATTTCATAGAAATGTTTTCCACTGTTTAGGCCACGACAATGGCCATACAATATAGTCGACATACATACCATACATACATATATGCAGCCATATGTGTATGGTCTTT